TGTTGAGGCACATCTCGCGATTTACTTCCTCCACAATACTCTAGGGGCGTTATGCTTAGGCTAGCCTATGCCCGTAAGAGGAATTAACCGTCTTTTTTAACATCTTTTCCCTATGTTGGGCCTTTTGAAAATGTCTCACGCCTAAGAAATGTCATTTACAGTCTTTTAGAACATTGATATTCATGAATATCGAACATTATAATATTTTTAGGGTATAGTAACTCTATGTACAGATAACAATGCAACTTTCGATGACTAATTTTATGTATCCCAATCTATCAAGGACAAACAGACATGATTAGAGTAGAATGTAAGCAGATTGGGTAACAAATATTATCTACACGTTCTGGCTCAAAAAAATAGATTTTCTACATAAATTTGAATTCCACTCACAAAGGAGGCGAGGCCCACGTGAATTAAATATTGTTGCTGTCCATTTTCTATGGGTAATTTCTTGTACCCATAGCCTTGCTCTCCCCCCCACCCACCTACCTACCCAACTCTCACACACACACATACACACACTCCTTTCAAATTATTGAACTACTTTTTTTAACAAGGTTTACCTTTTTAAAATAGTCTCATGTCATGATATATTATCAAAGTTCAAACGAGCAATTCTATTTTTTTAAATTATAAATATATATTTTGATTTCGAAATTGATTTGATCAAACGAGCAATCATCTTTCAATGACATAATCCTACATCAATTAACTTTCAAAATAATAAACAATAGGGTTGAGCAAAATCCCATCAGTGAAATTAACTTTTTTAAGTGGGAATCCCTTTTTTGCTGAAATGCCTTTAGAAAACGATTTTTGAAAAATCATGCCAACAAAAATTCTTCGAAGCACTTACTACTCTCTAATTATATCATCAAAGTGTCACACTTTGAAACCCTTGCTATCTTGAGTAATTCACTATCTTAGAATTTAATATTGTAATGTTTTTTTACCTAACATAGTTAGACTTACAAGCACTCATATTTCACTTAACTCCTCATATTAATTAAATTGAATTTGAATAACCAATCAAAACCTATAAATTGGGCTTCCACTATCATATCCACATAGTTGACAAGTGCAATTGTAATTATTATTTTTTTATTTTTTGAGAGGATTGTGGTGCAATTATACTTCAATAAACTTTGTCTAATTTTTCCATGAAAAGTTATATAAGTTAAAATATTGTTCACTACCTGACCATATAATGTAAATATATTATAATATAAAGAACACAAAGAAGGATAGAATAATATTGTCTAGGCAGAAGATCCAACATAAATATAGTTCATGTTTAAACCTCATTTTTATAAAATTCATTTTTCTTCAAATTATTTTAATCACATTTTACAATAAAATAATTTTACACGTAAATTCAAAAATTTTCCACCTTTTTAACATGAACAAGATGAATCATCGTGGGTACATTTTAGCTCTGAAATACGAAACCTAAAAATAATAATAATAATAATAATTTTGAGTATTGAGAGCTGCAGCTTGCAACGTGCATATGTTCCATTTCTTGTAAGAAATTACGAAACAAGTGAATTGGTCTATATTTGAAATTATTGCCATTATTTTTTTCCCAAAAATAGCACGAATACACTCAAAGAGGAGTGGCATTGACATGTTGCTTCTTAATATGCATACCCCTCATAACTAAATAAATAAATAATGTTTTTTAACACCAGTAGTACTAGAGCATCAATCTAAGTGATCACACTTAATAAATTCAATTATATAAATCACATGACATCGTATTTAAGTGAATTTATCATTTATTGTCATATAATTGCCACCTAAACTGATATCAAGCACTCATGGTGCTACATAGCGTTACTCTAAAGAAATAGTTGACATGTTTAGTAAGTTGGTAGGTAGATAGGATAGAATGAAATTGAAATTTGGTCACTCGACTCGTCTGTCTAGAAGTATTTCAACATAGTATGCCTGAATTACACGGTTAAAATGTGATACATGTATTAACTATTTTGTAGAAAAATGCCAAAAAAGTATATGCTGCACTACTAATTTTGATTGAAAAAAAGACACTTTCTTGGAGATGGTATTGTACACTCCTCAAATTTGAAACAGTACTACAAGAATGAAGAATCTCCTGCATCATAATCTCAACCACAAGATAGGACATCAACTTCATCACATCACAACAACATCAGCACACACAATAATGTAGCCAGATTTCCCAATGCAAAACTTTGCATAAACACTATAAAAAACGAAAGGTAAAAACGCTTTTTTAACTCCGATGAATCAAGAACAAATGCCATACAATTAATCTAAATTTGACACATGAGGTAATGAAAATATTTGTGACTGAATGCATTAGAACCAAATAAATGAAGGAATAATTTGAGAAACAAGAGTACTTTTGATTGGCTAAGAAAGCAACACATAAATAATATATGTACTTGGAGAATAAATTAGAATTGTCCCAATGTTGGGATCCAAGACTCCATTGATACTTTTTTAAGTGTTTCCCCACATTCAAACTGTACACTTTTGAATTTGTTTCTGAGCCATATTTGTTGGTGCTACACGTGAACAAGTGCCCCATGCCCCTCCCATACATGAACCATAAAAACAAGACTGAAGGCACACTGGATCACAATGGCTACTAATTCAAGCCATTTCTTCTAACTCAATATTATACCGATGAGACCCCCATTTCTTTATTTCTATGTCCATCATTCTCCAAGAAACGATGGTACAGTAAATGAGAAAGCTACTACTTTCACTTTATTTTGAAAGATCTAAAGCAACTACATTCCACTTAGTCAAAAGTGACTGGGACCTTCCTAAAAGATACTCAGCACGTCAGGATGACCTCACTTTTCTTGAAGAGTTCTTATATGACATTCATAGGTATTTAAATATATAGAAATAATCATGCTAGATATACACTCAAAGTGTACATCTAGTTTGAAAGCCCCCTCACAATAGGGGGGGCCCGCTTTTTTTTTTTTTTTGAAAGCGACCCCCCATTGTGAGGGGGATGTACACCAAGTAATCAAACTTGATGTACATCAAGTAAAATTCTACTTAGAAATATCGTGCAAGCAAAAACTAATAATTTCTCCTGCATTTGTATTCAGTTTTTGCATCTTCCCCTCTTTTTCCGTATATTTTTAAACTGAAAGAATCTTGTCAATGGATTGTGTATCGGCATATTATTCCCTTCATATAAATTGTGGTGGAGGAGAAGTAAAAGATAACGATAACCGTACAATATATGAAAAGGACAACGATTTTGGAGGGGCTTCTTATTTCGGTCAAAGTGGGAAAAATCAGGGATTTAGCAGCACAGGTCACTACTGGGACCTTGGCGAGATTAATTTATACGTCAAGAAGAGTACCTCAAGCATTTCTGGGAAGAATCCCCAACTGTACATGGATGCACGAGAATTCCCTAATTCATTATCTTATTATGGGTTCTGTCTTGGAAATGGAAACTACACAATAAGCCTAAGGCGCATATTTGATGTTTATATTCAGGTACTTACATACTTGCTATCAGAGAAAAATGCCCCATCCTTAGAAGACAGGATTCTTACAGATAGATGGAAATCAATTTGATTTGGCATTTCATTTGTGGTCTTTTACCGTTTCTTTCTAGCATGAAAAAGTTCAGTAGTATTTGGGTTAAATTATTTCAGGGACTGCGGGTGCTAAAGGATTTCAATATCGAAGATGAAGCTGGTGGTGCTAATATAGGAATCGTAAAAAACTTCTCTGTTGCCGTCACTGATACTACTTTGGATATCCGCTTCTACTGGGCTGCAAGGGGGATTGTTCTGCCAGATTACGGAGTATATGGTCCACTTATATCAGCTATTTCTGTCAATCCTGGTAAGCTATGAATTCTTTAAACCATCTCATAACTCGAATAACATGAAAACAATAATTTGTTGATCCTATTATATCTTCTAAGAAGTGCATCTCGACATGAAGCACCATGCCTAGGGTCTACAATCGCAAAAAGTTGGTCAACTCTTTTGTTGCCTGCCTNTTTTTTTTTTTTTTTTAGTCATAAACTTGGTGTACAAGAAGACAAATTCATATAGAAAACAACAAAAAATGTACAGAGAATTTATCTGTCGACAATGTATGCTGTATAGTATGGTTCTTCCAAACAAACATAGAATTAACAGCATAACATGCAAGCAGTAAAAAGTCTGTTGCAGTTTCTTTACCATCACCATATTTCTTCTGAATCACTTCTATATTCTGAGTTTAACCCAACTGAAAGAATAAAATAATGATATAAAATGATGTTTGACTGTGTATAACTTATTGCAGAAAAAATTCCATTTTGAATAAAAAGACAGGGAAAAGAACAAATATTAGGCAGATTATGTTAGAATCACTTACATTGGTAGAAGTGCTAAAACAGGAAACTGACCTTTTCTGATTCACTCATGACCCTCTAAAATCATGGCATCCAGTAGGGGCCTCCCCACAAAGGTTTTTTCACCCTCCAAACAGAAACAAAAATACTTTATCTAGATTATGACGACACTCTATGTCTCTATGCATGCAAATACAAAAATAAATAAATGAACTGGTGATAAAATACACATTCTCACATGTGGAGCCATTTGATGCTGTGAACAAGTCTCAGGTTTTTCTCTGAAAAATAGCTATCAAGCTAATAAGTTAAACATAAAGAAATCGATAGGTCATTCCGTCATTGATACTATTAATTTGTGATTTAATGCCCCACCGACAACGAACTAGTTCTTGTTCTCAATAATTTGGAATCGGTGATACATCTTTTTTTCGGCCATTTCTTCGTTCATTTCTAGATCTATAAGATCTCTGCAGCATGTAAATTACAACAACTTTAATAGACAACGTTAGTTTCGCTCCAAGTTTCCCTCTTCTAATCGGTTCTAATGAGAATTAGGGTTCGTCTGAGCCCCATTTTTGGGAAAATATATGTTATAATAGTTATTTTATTTTATTTTATTTGGAGAATATATGATTAAAAAGTAGAAAAAAAAATTTGATTTATGTGTACAGTTATTTTATTGAGAAATTGTGTGGTATAAAATGAATTTAAAAAAAAAAAAAATTTTTTTAAAGAACTAGGCTCAAACAAGGGCATAGTGGGGACCCATAACAAGGAAATTTTAAAGGGTCTTGCTATATGTACATAAAGGTTCACATAAGGAATTACATAATGTCACATGACACTTTATCATTTGTCAGTTTAAAACACAGTCACTTTTTCATCAAATCTTTTCCATCCACATCATTTTATATAATCTCTTATATATCATTTTTATGAACAAGTAGCATAATCCAATTTTAAATACACCATACACAACTGAAAACATTGGACGCACACAACATATAGAATTGCCATAAAATGAACTCATCAACTTCTCCAAATTTGAACATATTTGCTCAAACTAATATAAAAGCTCAATAAGACAGGTGGCTGAAACTGTGGAAAGCTACATAGAATATTTGATATTTCTTTCTTCCTTGTGCCCGTTTGACAACAATTATTTGGGAAAAATAGAGTTTTGAACAGTGATTTTTAGAAGAATTTGTGGTTAAAAAGTAATGAAAATTTTTGAATTTACGTGTAGAATATTTTATTATATGAATATGTGTTTGAAAATGAGTACGTAAAAAAAAAGTTTAAAAATAATGATTGTCAAACAGGGGGCTATATCATTTCTTAGAAAGTAAAAGGATGAGCGAAGAATTATCTTAGAAAAGAAACCCTATCGTGAACAGTAGACAATCATAAGAACTTGCAAAATGAGTGTCTATTGACGGTTCAACCGCATCCTTCTCTTTATATACTCGTCTCTATCATTCACTTTTTCAACAAATTTTTCTGCTTTCTATTTGATTTATTCAAACACGAAGAAGAGTATAGGAAACAAACAAGGGTATAACTGCTCTTTTCTCTCTACCATCCCATAAGAGATGATTAACTTCAAACAGAACACGATAGCCTTAAGAATGCTAGCAGTTTTCCTTGTTAGCTTTACAGTCAACAAAAAACATCTCTGCTCCAACCACCCTTCTGTTACTTCAACAAATTCTCCTCGTTCATCTTTTGTGACTGCACATTCATCATTGGCAGAGATGGTATTTGATGGGCACCTAAGCTTTGAAAATATCGAACACACAACTAAGGACTTTGGCGGTAGATACCATTTCACGCCATCAGCAGTTTTATATCCAAAATCAGTTTCTGATATTTCCTCTATCGTAAAACATATTTTTCAAATGGGTGAAACCACGGAACTTACTGTTGCCGCTAGAGGTCATGGCCACTCCTTTGAGGGCCAAGCACAAGCGCATGGAGGTGTTGTTATCAATATGGAATCACTTCGGGTGCCAGAAATGAGATTTCACACTGGAAAACTGCCCTATGTTGATGTTTCTGCTGGTGAACTATGGATAAATATTCTGCATGAAAGCCTTAAACATGGCTTAGCACCAAAATCATGGACTGATTATCTTCATCTTACAGTTGGAGGCACCTTATCTGTTGCCGGAATCAGTGGGCAAGCATTCCGGCATGGACCTCAGATAGATAACGTCTACCAACTACAGGTTGTCACAGGTCAGTCTTCACACTCAGAAATAGTCTGTTTGTCAGAAATTGCTGTTTTGTGATAAACTCGGGACACGCTAAGCCACTCTTCTCCTTGTTTTATTCAGCAATGACTTTGTGGTTTTCTCTAACTCAAGTTACAAAGTGCTTGTACTAATTTAGAAAAGATTGTTGCCTTGAAATGTAGGCATGAATTGCTCTCTATTACAATTGCTTGCCTACGACAATCAAAAAGCAGAGGACACTAATCCTATTCATTTTTTGTTTCAGGCACAGGAGAAGTGGTAACTTGTTCAGAAGAGCAGAACTCCGACCTCTTCCATGCTGTGCTTGGAGGGTTAGGACAATTTGGTATCATCACCAAGGCTAGAATTGCTCTAGAACCAGCACCCAAAAAGGTAACAAAGTTCACTATTTTACAAATAGGTATAAAGTTACTGCAGGAAATATCAATTTATGTAACCCAAACAATGTCTTCTCACAGGTTAAATGGATCCGAGCACTTTACTCAGATTTCACCGTATTTTCTAAAGACCAAGAGCATTTAATATCATCTGAAAATTCTTTCAACTACATAGAAGGGTTTGTCATTATAAATAGGACTGGTTTATTAAACAATTGGAGATCTTCTTTCAGTTCCAAAGACCCAGTACAAGCCAACCAGTTCACTTCAGAAGGTAGGGTCCTGTTTTGCCTTGAAGCCGCAAAATATTTTAACCCAGAAGACTCTGATAACATTGATAAGGTGAGCCATTTTACTTCACTTTGTCCCAATCAATTTGGAAAGACATAGTGATACTACACTTTAGACCCCAAATAACTGATGTTTTCAGAAGGTTATCATATTCATAACTGTTTCCTTGTATGCAGGACATTGATACACTATTAGCAGATTTAAATTACATTCAATCCACTCTCTTCTTATCAGAAGTTTCTTACATTGATTTCCTCGATAGAGTACACGTCTCTGAATTAAAACTTCGGGAAAAGGGGCTGTGGGAAGTGCCACACCCCTGGCTAAATCTTCTTATTCCAAGAAGTAGCATTCATCAGTTTGCCCAAGAAGTTTTTGGAAACATTCTTACAGATACCAGCAATGGTCCTGTATTGATTTATCCAGTTAACAAATCAAGGTACTAATTTGTGAAGTAAGAAATTGACTTGTTTCCTCTAATCAGTTTGAATATGATTTTGAATCACTTTTATCATAGGTGGAAAAATGGAACGTCTGTTGTAACGCCTGAGGAGGATGTCTTTTACCTAGTTGCATTTTTGTCTTCAGCATTACCATCTTCCACAGGAAAAGATGGCTTGGAATACATCTTAACCCAACACAAAAGAATTCTTAACTTTTGTGGAAGATCCAATCTTGGGATCAAACAATATTTGCCTCATTATAGCACTCGGGAAGAGTGGAAAGCTCACTTTGGTTCTTTCTGGGAAGTTTTCTCTCAAAGGAAATCCATCTACGACCCTCTGGCAATCCTAGCTCCAGGACAAAGAATCTTCCATAAGCGAAGGCATTTGGACAATGACCTAAAGTTACTTCGCTCAGTGAATAGAGCTCTAGAGGCACGTAGATAAAATAGCATAAAGCCTCTTAAGTGTACATAAAAGAATTTTGTACTTCAGTCTCAGAGAGCATCATAATAGTGCTTTTGGTACTTCATGAACATTTCCGTAAGAAAGAATATTGTACTTAGACATTTATTACCATCCAGAAAGGAACATGACCATAAGTGTCATTTCAAGATGAACAATAGAAAAGCTAAAACGAAATTCCATAATGCAGAATGAACTCCAGAATTGCCACTAGAACTTGTACAGTGAAACGAGGTCACATATTCAACCATCAAGAACAGGAACCTAAGTCTAAGATAGCAAGAAATATCAGAAGAAACCAAGGGTACCTAATGTAAATTTGTAACAGGAATACATTCACTTTGCATCACCTTTCCAGCCAAGGCCTGGCCTACCTATTTCTTCCTGTAAATCTTCGTAGTCTCGAGCACTGTGAAGAGAAGCCTCAAAATCAGTGGAGTCACTTGCAACTGGAAGAAAACTACTTATATCGTCTCTAGCTCCAAAGCCTCCAGCTCGCATAACGTCATCAGCTGTTATAGAGGCCTCCATGTTGACATCTCCAGAAGCATCTATAGGTGCAGTAGAAACAGGTTCATCGGCATTCACAGTATCTTTAAAGTCAAATTTATTGACTTCTGGAACATGTTTAAAAGGAGCAGGCTGTTCTGTCAGATTCTCTCTCATGTCCAGAGGTTGAACATCTTCAGCTACCTCCTTATCTGTGCTTTTATCTAGTTCAAATAAATTTCAAAGAAATTCACTTAAGAACTTCATTGTTGCAACGAAATCTACACGAACAATAAAGTTTTAAAAAACCATGTAACAACAGAAACATGGCACGAGTAAAACCCATATTAAAGTAGCAACTACCTTTCAGATTTTCATACGATACAGACTCCATAATGATTGATGCTTGCAGAAATCCTATCGTAGTCTTCAAATGAAACTCCCGATCTGTTAAATAAAGTAACTATCCGAGGAATGTATCATTTCATTACTAGATAAAAGAAAATATGAGGTTCAATGTAGCAGCATAGAATCTCAGGCTAAAAAATTGTTGTCTCCTAATATCGAATTATTAGATTTGCCGCAGCCATGAGACTCATTGAAAATGAAATAAACTTGGTCTTATAATGTCATCCACAATATTTAGTTTATGTAACATTACACGTTATTAACAATGCTTAATTTTAATTTTATCTGAAAGATCAGTCCAAAAACACCTGATGGTTTGATAAATTAAAGGGCCGCTGGAAAAAGGGGAAAAAACTCTAGAAATCACTTCATGCTTGGCCCCAATTCAAGCAACTAATAAACGGCCATAACGGCTCATACTACATGTACACAAGACGCACAAAAAGCCACAGGATTGAGTATCTACGGCAAAACCAAAATCCAAATCCACAAATATACAGTGAACAAAATTTAAGACAAGATTAAATGATATACGCGTGGCTCTGTCTGAAAGCAATCAAGTGGTTCGAAAGTCCGAAAAGGAAAATCTTGATTATAAGAACTCCTATCTCCAGTTAATGAAAGCTCACCGAAGAGTAAACGCGAAATCAACAAAAACTCCAGGAGATCAAATAAACGTATAAATGAAAACAAAAATACAACTTATTGACTTTCTAACCTCACAGTTCAAACTGTCAAACATTCCTATCCCACGGAATCAGATCTTCACCTACATTGAAAACTGGACAATTTCATTCCATTCTTATTCTCCTTCATATGCAAACTTAAAGCCCCAGTTGATTCCTTTTTATCTATATCAATATAGTGATTTCCACTCATTTTTGTTAACCTCCATCTATGTAATAAAGCACACGCACGCATAACAAGTCTGTGTAGGTACTGTTTGTTTTCTTCTGTTGGGGTAGCAAGTAAAAGGGCATTTTGAAGGATGGAAAGAGAATTACCAGGACGCTAAGGAGCTCTTGCAAAAGCAGAATAGCTGTTCTTCTTGGCTACCCTCTCTGTTTCTTGGAGTTTAAAGGTGCTTACGTGTGCTTGAATTTTTAATGATACGTGTCAGTTGCGTTTATGGAACGCTGTCTAGAGTAAGCCCACTGCGGCCCACTTAACAGATCATAAGATTGGGTAGATGGCTGAGAGGGAGTAAAACAAAAAAAAAAGGGTAAAGTTAATAAACACTTAGCAATGAAAAATCATGTTTACCCTCACGCCATTTGGAAGAGAGAAAGGGGAGAAAAATTGTGGAGAAACCGACAATCCATACGGCCAAAAAATCGACGACCAAGATCGGAGATTTACTATCAAACTCAAGAAGGTGAGCAAAGAACTTTTATACAAAAAAAAAAAAGAAGAAGAAGTCCTGGCCATCGGATCCAGACAGCCCAGACGCTGGGCCACGCAATTAACTCGACCATCCGAACCCAGACGTCTTTTTTTTTTTTACTAGTTATTTAATTGTTTAATTGATATTAACTATTTAATTTAACTGTTTATTGAACATTTAATTTTAAATTTTAAATAAATAAATATTTTATTTAATTATTTATCTTAATTGTTTATTTAATTTTAAATTAATTATTTTAGTTGATTATTTAATATTAATATTAATTTCTTTTTTAATTTTATTA